GTGAATAACTGCGTTTCTAGCCAGATGATTTTGGTGTTTCACTTTCATCAACCAGATTCTTGATTTCAAGCTCCCGGAATAGATCTACACAATCTTCGTCATTATTCTTAGATGATGCACAATTAGCTGTATTTTTACTGGCTTTCTTTTTGCCTTCCATGGTAGCTTGGTGAGGGTCATCCAGGTTTTTGCACGTGATGATGTCAAAATTGCATGGAACAGAGTTAAGAGCATGTTCAGTTTCAATTAATGCTTGCCGCCGTAGTTGGCTTTTAACCAGTCCATTCTTGGCTTTAGGGCGAGGGAACTCTTTTAAACACCATAATTTGCAGCACGCACCTTGGTACAAAAGTATTCCAGGTTGTTAGATATATGTCAATTGTCACAAGGAGTTGTTCCTTGTCCGCCAAGTCATCAGTATAATGGCAGATCTTGAGGCAGACTCGTCATGGTTTAGGTGGTTAATCCAGCCGATTTCATAATTATGGCGTTCCTTCAGAAGTTCGAAGTAATGATCGTGCAGAGTCTTTATCCAGAAATGAATTCTCTCCTCGGTTAGAAAGGTAGCACATTGCACTGCCGGTTTGTATATGCTGTGGTCTATTTCAAATTTGAGCTTCTTCTGCGTCCCTGTTTTGCAGTGAAATGTTGGGATCGTATATTTTGTGTAAATCTTCACTTTAAAAGCGTTTACACTTGGAGAAAACCGAGAAAACGCTGAAAAAGTTAACGCATATGTGGAACCATGCGGTATGTGACCAACCGCATGACCACCAAGTAAAGTTACCCCATCCGACACATGTCAACTTTACCAGCTTAACTGAAGTGTTTCGTCATGTAAAGACTAAAATAATATTCCTTGTAACGTCCAAGCAAGATTTGAACGAAATTGTATCTGACAGAGCAATTAACTTTTTCCAGCAGTGGTTAAGGCACTGTGCAACAATACAGAAGAGGTTAGACTGATTAACAAGTGCGGTCATGGGATCACTTATAGCCTATTTAAAGGGATTGACACGGAATTTGCCCTGAAAGTAAGCAATGAGCAAATAAGAAATAGCGTGCCTATCTCAGACGAATGTAATCAACCCAAAAGTCCACCCCTCACACTTATGGTAGTAGAATACACACTGAGCAGGGCCGTACCTCGCACCGGGGGAGTTTGATCCTTGTCCTGAAGCAAGAGCTCCATGCCTCAAGAGGGGTCAGAAGAGAACCTTGGAGACAGCGAAGAGTCACCTGACCACCCCCCCCCCCCTCCAGCTAAACAGAAGTGTAAGTGCTCTCTAGCAGCGGATGTAATCAAAAAGGAGATCCGCGAGTACTATAGGGGTAGGCATGTTGGTGCTGGAATCATTTCATACGTGCAGCATCTCAGAATCAGCTCATCATACCAGGAAATCACATTGAAGCTTCAATTGCATTACCACGTTTGGGTCTAGCTGAGAAAGCAAGCTTGAAACAGTCGCCGCTGCTTGTTTCTGGTTGGAAAGGGTTCTTCATCAAGGTCTCCGACAATATCATGTCATTCAAAGCACAATTTGATGCCTTGACAACAACAACAACAACAACAACAACCCGCTTTATTGTGCTCTTAATACATAAAAGTGTAAAGACATTAAGAGAAAATAATTGTGAAAAAAAGAGAGCACAGCCACTCAGAAATAGCAAAAGCTAACCACGGGGTACGTCACATGGCGTTTGTTTTGTGATGGGGGGAGGGGGAGGTTCCTAGGTGATTTTTCTGGAGGAATTATAATGTACTTGGTAGGCAAAATTTAACCTCTGATGTAAAATAAGGTTTACTCAATTATTACACTTTATGCTTCCGTACAATATTATAAACTATAAATCAATGAATTAACATTTTTCAATCATGAGTTAAGGTAGTTATTGATGCAAACAGCAGCAAGCCAGTTTTTAGTTACAGCACCTAAATAAAAATAAGGTTTCTTAGATATACAGGGCGTTTCAAAAGTTCGTTCCGATTGTAAATTGTACTTTTCACAAAGCACTTAATGCTTCTTTAGGCAAGTGTAAACAAATTGAGGTAAAAAATTTGAAGACATTATAAAACTTTTTGAATTTTTGCCCCAAATGTGCATGTACGCAAGTTTTTTACCGCCACACTCTTCCTGTCCATTTTGTAGGTTTTCTATTTTCGTATTTTTCCTGTCTTCTTTTACTTTCTCTACTTTTTTCACAAAAATGAAGGCCTATACTGTTTGTGCTAGGGCTCAGGCATCTATTTTTACAGTCTTCTGGCCATTCAGTAAAAAAAAATGTTAAACTGTTGAAGAAGTCTGAACGATGAGTGAACAAGTAGTCAAAAGTAAAGACTTTAGAAGACAAACCAAGGAGTGCATGGCCGTTTAAAAAACCCTGTGAGAAATGTTATCGAAAAAGCTATAAGTATACGGCATTGCATAACATAAAGGTAAAAAACTTCAAATTCATAACATCAAAGTTTCGAGCACAACGGTATGGAGATATGTGACCAACAAAGGTTGGAAAACCTTGAAGAGAAAATGCCGCGGCGCACATGCAGACATGGTGCCAGAAGGATTTGCAAACTTTATATCAAAGGACAACCGGCCAGCAAACTCTTCTGATTTCAACCCTTTAGAGATCGACCATCTGGATTATCCTTAACGAGACAACACACAAAGATCCAGCCCTCTAAACACTGGACCAGCTAAGGCAGTAACTACGCTTTGCCTGGGAAAATTTGACTTTAGACATGCTTTAAGAGCTCGTACATTCTATAACTAACCGCTTGGAAAATGTCAGAAAACATGAAGGAAGATATTCTGGTTACTGATATCTTAGTCAATGTTAAATGAATAATGAATAACATCTTTACTTTTACAAAAGGTATGTATTTATAATCAGTGACATTTAAGCGAAGAAAATATCGGAACGAACTTTTGAAACACCCTGTATATAACAATTTGTGTCGCTAAAATATTTAAATTTATAAAACACTAAGTCAAGTTTTGAAGACCAGACTCAGTCACGTTCAATTCCCCAGTTGACAGAGTACCGGTATATGTGGTATATTAGTGTATACTATTGCTTAGAGAAGTTAAGGGCAAGGGAAAGGATAAAGAATATTTAAAAGATATAGATAAACGTGGATAAACAAATACAATTTCTGATATAATTTATTTGACCTTTACAAACAACACTTGAAAAGCAACTCTCTCCTTGCTTTCGACATTAATAGTACAGCTAAATTTTGTGTCTAAATTTTGTCCAATCCACTAAAAGCCTTCCAAATTACATTTTAAATACAAATTCTCTCTAAACTTATCAACTTAAATCTACTTTGAAGATGTATTTTAGCTTTTGAAGGTGTTTGAAGTAGTTTTTTTGTACGCTTTCATTTCTTGGGGTTCCATCTGAGAGACAAAATGGCGGCTGTTGGCGGCTTCCAATGACGTCTCTTCAAGTAGGATTTCTACCAGAGAGGTACCATTCAGAATATCCGGCAAAACATTTTTGGCAAGATAAATATATAAGCTTTCATGTGGGATCAATCTTATTTATTCTCCTGAGATGAGTATTAGAACCCTCTCAGGTGGTGGACTAAAATCTGGACCACCCGTACGAAACCAGCAGCGCTGTACAGCACCACAAAAGCGCTTCAAAATGCCTGCACAGCGGGTATGCAGCTGAAATGCAGTTGTTTGATAGCTTTCCTGCAGTTGATGTAAAGCTGCAGCAGGCTGCAAAAACGCTGTGCAGCTCTTTGAAGCGCTTTGCAGCGAACTAAAGCGCTTTAGCAGCGATCTGAATAGCTATCAAATAGCTGCTCTCCCGGCTGCTATGGGCTGCCGATGAGTTACACTTTTTTACCCTACACAAGCTTGTTCGTGCTGTAAGCTAGAGTCTGCAACTGCACCGAGTGTATTAAGTACGAAAACAATAAAGCCATAATTGAGGATAACAGACCTTGTCACGGTTTTCCACGCCATCTTGAAGAGTGGGCAAACGCGTGAGAAATTACAGTGCATGAGAATCTGAAGTCCAATAATTTCCGTTAAAAGGCTGTTTTGAAAAAAATATCAATTGTAAACTAAAGCTTCACTCTTAAGGATTCTACTGAAAAAATTTGAGGGCGTTACATGCGCTAGAAGACCTTGAACCACTTTTTAAAATTTTCTATACATTTGTCTGTAACAATTTCCCGGGAAAAAATGCAGACAAACATATGGAAAATCTAAAAGCAAGCGTCTGGAGAAATTTAAGCACGGTAACGCAGCCCCCAAAATTTGTTAGTAAAATCCTTTGCTGTGCGATTCATATTTTTGTCAGAACAGCCGTTTTACCGAAATTATTCGACATTAGATTATCATACAAACACTGTAATTTCTCATGCGTTTGCCTACTCATCAAGTTGGCACCGAAAACTGTGACAAGGTCTATTTAGGCCAGAACTAGTGAATAGCAGTGGAAATGAGACATCTCAACTGACTCAATGCACCTTGACTATTAAACGGCTTAAGCCCAGAAGCTACAAGTCGATCTTGTTGTTCCTTCCAGTCTACTTATAGCTTTTCATTTCTCATCCATTAATTGTTGTCTAAGGAGCAAGCGATTGCTCTATCAATTCTTATAAGCACGTGATTACTGACACGCAGTCCGCGTACGCATATTTTGGAAACTATACATCAAGAAACTAGTCCTTCTTATTTTTCAACTTGGAAATTTGAATTTCGCATTTTAGCATTAGAGGGTTAGACATGGTGTTAGACGACGTAGAGGAAAGGACAATAAAGTGAAGAATGCTTCGTGATTGCATGACGTTCCCCGTTCTGCGTACGCTTATTGAAGCCGCCTTCCTCAACCTGCCATCGATATTGCTGAAACTCTATCCGGTATCAATTACCGCAACACAAACAAAACAAAGATGTACACAAGTTGGGATTTATTGCACATTAACACATCAACTCAATCTATGCACATGCACATGAAATAAATAATATCATAAATTTACCTCAATCCGATTTGACCCTATTTGGAAAACGAGAAACAAAAGCTACCTCTTCGCCCTCACATTGCATGTAAACAAGTTTCTCTTTCACAGCCGAAATCGGTATAATCATAATTACTTTTTCCCGTGCGTAGACAACTGTGAGTTGTTGTCCGGTTGCAAAAGTAATCGGGTCTTCAATAAAAGCAAATCCAAGTACCCTTGGTAAGGCATAAACTAATGCGAGGTTTTTTACCGGGCAAACACAGTACCCCGTGCATGTTAAATTATTACCACAAGGCAGTTTGTATTGAAAATAAAAATCAATTTGTCCAACTAGAAAAATTGTTACAGTGAGGACCATTGTCTTGGAAGAGTACAGAAGAGCTATTTCGAGCAGTGACTTGTTTGTATGATAGAGAGTGATAAACTGAACCGCCTTTACGCATGCGTTTGAAGGAGGGAAAGGTGTCTAAGAGAGAAGGAAAACCTAAAAACTTTCCCAAAGCAATGAATTGTTCATGGTCTAGTGCCTTCATTGATGGACTGCCCAAAGCGGCAATGTTATTTTCAATAATTTGCTCTCTACCAACATGAGAAGGATTCATAAGTGAGTTAAAAAAATTCCTCTTCTACAGACCCCACGATTAGTTTTAATTTAAGACTTGGCAAGGACTGCATAATTGCACAAGATACAATTTGGAGTGCAACGTTTTGAGTTCCGTGAAATAATTTGAGTAAATTGCCATTGTAACTTTCAAAAGGAAAGCAGGAATGAGTCCACAGAAGTCCGAGATTTCTTACATCGTCCGCTAGATGGAGAAGGGAATGAACGTTAATCGTTTCCTTTCCTGCAGAATAGAGAGCTGAAAACATCAGGCAAAAATGTTGAAGCAACTTTTCTGCGTGGTCGAGTTCATCAGAAAGAAATGCCGTCTCCCAACAAAACAAAAATAGCCTCACTTAAGAATATAAAATGCCTGTAGTAGTCTTCCGGTAAAACACTGCGTAAAACGATTGGCCCATAAAACAGCATAAAGGAACGGAATTCAAAAGCCTTCCAATACTGTCTTTCAGTCTCTGTTTTCCGAGGGCATCGCGTGATGTCATTTGGTGGCTTTATTTTTGAAAGCTTCTCGTCGACCTCTTTAACCTTGTCTACGATATTGAATGGTTCCATCTTAAGAGAGAGGGAAAACCTACCCTGCGAGCAGAGGCTACATTTTCGCGGAATGAGATGGCGAGCGAAAAGCAGCCTCTGCCGACAACCGTTCAATTTTCTATCGTGCATGCGCAAAATTCATCACGCGATTTGCAAGCAACTGGTTCGTCAAATCTGCGTGAGTTTCGCGGGAATCAAAATTGGGAAAACTACTTGCGAACAACTCTCCTCGAGCTTTTGTTTTGTTTTTCTGCTTTGCAAGTCTGGTTTTAAGTATTTTAGCTGCAAAATTTCCTCGGATCGTCTTTTGAGAAAGCATTATGCTACCAACTGTAGCAAGTCCTGTCTTATTTGAGGGGAGCACATTTAACTCCAAACGGCAGTTTTCTTTCCGGCTTATTGGTATAGGTAATACACTCATGTTAAAGAAGTTTTTGAGCCAGAGCAAGAGATCATATTATGATCTCTTGGCTAGAGTTAAACCATCTTAACGCCTTTGTAAAAATTGCTACAGACGCATTGATGCTATATATAAAAAGCTGGAAAAATGTTCTGAAACGTTTTGTGGAGCGCTGGTTTAACCCATAAACGACTATTCCACCGGCGTGTTTTAACGAAGTTTTCATTTCAAAAAACGGTAGTTTCATGACCATTTAAGCAGTTAACTCAAGCTGCAAATGAGCTTTCGAAAATTTTCTTATTTTTAATCTAACAAGCTTTACCAGTAAACCATAGTTTTGCTCAAAGTGAAAAATGAAATTCGCCGACAACCCTACGCAGAAGTGATGCGTGAAATGAATTGGATGCTGTAGTCTCACGATTGCGTTTTAAACTAATGTTATGAATGAACATAGACAAAACAATAGTCAGAGAAATTATTAATCGAAACATTTTATTCGAAAACCCATAATTTTACCCTAAAAAGCAATTCGCGTAACACTAACTGGGTCGTGGATCCTTTCACGCAAGTAAAAGCGGCCGAAGACATCAAATGTCAACGCCAAAATCCGTCTCAAATCGTATAAAACATCTATGACACAACTATAAACACTTAAATTTCCACTTAGGAATTTCCTTGACCATTAATGTGCAAATTGTACCTGAAATTCTTTAAAAACGTTGCCGCTTTGGCTTCTTTTCAGAACAGGACAAGCGTTCCACAGTGACGATTAACCAACCAGTTTGAAGTCCTTGAGGGCGAATCATTATTCAGCTAAAAGCTTTTCCACCAAAAGAAAACTTATCGATGATTCTTTTGAACGTTCCGATTCCCATCTGTGTCTTAAAACAGAGCATTTAGCCTTGCATTGAGAGGCGACACAACAAAATCACCGCAGTATCCATTTTCTTTTCCTGGCAAACAAGAACTACCATCTGATAATTTAACGATCTTTAGCCTGTCCCGTAAGAAGCACCGGTAGCAAGCTTGTTTTGGTATTCCAACAGCTTTAAAATACAGAGTTTTCGCAAGTTGACGACTCTCTTCTAAATACATAAACAGGGATTTTTTAAATTGTTTTAAACTTTTTCCGTTGCTACGCTTGAGCCGCGTTCGCATCCGAGAATTTGGCGGGAAGGGATGCAAGAAGGAGCAATAATGGTCAGCATTCACTCGCTGACGCAAGACTCACGCAATGCTCTAAACCGGTCAAGAACAGGTAAAAACCCGATTTTTTAATTTATTTGTCCAGATTTCTGGACGGATTTGAACGGTTGTAGACAGAGTCTACTTTTCGCACGCCATTTCATATCGCGAAAATGTAGCCTCTTCTCGCAGGGTAGGGAAAACCACATGTTCAATAATGATTTGGTAACGCCTTCAAGAACGCAGTGCATTTAATCAACAGCTGTTCCTTTCACCATGTCGTAGTATTGAAGACCGGCAAACCAACATGAACCTTTGACTCCTCTCACTGCTTTTCCTTCTGAGATTGCTGCTTTAGCATCTGCAAGAAACTCGGCATGTGTTCTACGAAGTCCCTTCAAGTTCTCTTGGTTAAAAGGGAAGGCGTGTACACGTCCACCTTTTTGGACAACGTTCACGGTACAACCAGGCTGCCCACATTTAAAACAGCTAAGTGAGACATTAAACTGCACAGTGTTGGATACGCAGGCTTTGGTAGGGAGATCACATGTTCCATATAAAAGTATTGCGCGTATGTTTAATATGCCTGGTTTATCAGGGCTTTCAACGATTGTTCCGTCTCTTTCCATCCTACTTAAAGCTGAATGGAAGGGTTTAAGATAGACCCACATTGCAGGCTTTGACGAGCCAAACCACAATCCTGCTAGTATCATGTTGTCTTTCGAGAAGCGCTTCTTGGGAGGCAGTTCATTGATAACTAAGTACAGAGGCCAAAGTGAAAAGTTTGATGACGTAAAAACAGGCACTCCATCTGTGTTCCACGTAAAAGATATGTTCTGTGGACATGACAATACATTGAGATGTTTTGACAATTTCTTGTAAAGTTTGCCATCGTATATATCGAAAATTCGATTGTTGTTGCTGTCGCGGTTATGACGGTGTTGAATGTCTTAATAAAACCCTGGCTTTGAATAGAACTTTCTTAGTTGCTCCATGATGGGAACTTCCACAAAAAAGGATAAACTACCCAAAACGGTGAAGTCCTTCAGGCACAAGGAGTTAGGTCAATGCTTGTCTTTTTTGTCAACCAGCATATAGCAATGAGAACAGTACCAATGAAATACCAAAGGCCAAGATAGATCGCAAAAGTAGTTTTTCAATGCATTTATTGGTTGTAAAAAATCACTGCAACCGAGGCAATGCAACCATATCAACTTGAGGATATCGTTTAAGGCCTGACCAGTGAGGGAATGGTAGAGAACAACCGCCATCACTAACAATGCACTTATGCCAACAGTTAAACGAGAACCAGGATAGATTGAAGGAAAACCAGGATAGAATTTTAGGAAAAAATACATCAAAGGTTTGGCAAAATTCAAATGAGACAACAAAAAGGGGCATCTTGTACAAATAGCCATTATACGAAAATGGCAAATTGTGTGATTCCAGAAAATATCCATACTCCCCCCCCCCCACGGATGGTTAATGGAAATTCCTAGGGGGTGGGGGGGGGGGTATAGGGTAGAAATTTCCGAGGGGTATGGGGGATGCCCACGAGAGGAATTTTCCACAGGGTTGTAAAAGATGCGATCGATCGTACGAGACATACTTACGTGGATTATTTTGATTTATAGCACAACAAAAATTAGAAATAGATGCCCTTTCGAGAAAACACTTAAAGATGTTTGTCTTAAACGTTTTTTTTCTTTGCTGGGCATTCGCTATCATCTCTCCGACGACGAACGGTCACTTCATTTTGGCTTGCACTGTACTGTGTTTACACGTGAAAAATCAAGATGGCTGACCGTAGCATATTAATACCCAGACCCCTAGGTTCTCTCTGCCTACCGGAAGAAAACATGATTCTACAACGGAAGTTCATTCACTCATTCTTTATTTCCCATAAAGTTGATCTATAAACTAGAACTTTAAACGTGCAAAATTATAGAGAAAGCAACGACTTTAAAAAATTTACAAAAGATTGAGTTTATTTATTGAAAAGCCTTTTTAGTACTTTCCTTGTTTCTCCGAGTAGAATTCGCACGTGAAAGCGATCTTGTGAACGAGTGGGAAATTACAACAATAAAGTGAGAGTAATACGATGTAATGAGTCTGGTCCTTTTTATGACGTGAACAACAAAACTACTTGAATAATCGGTTAACAGTGTAATAAACGTATTGCTTATGAAATGTTAGGAGCCCAGAGCATCACAGCTTAACATGTCGAGTCATCACTATCGCTATCGGCCGGCCGGCTTTCAACTTCCAGTTGTAACAATTTTTTTCGAGCGTCTGTCGCTTTTCGTAGGGCATCTTGGGCCCTTCGTAGTTCTGCCAGCTGAGCATCTAAGTCTTTCTCAATCTTATCCACTCTGACTGCGGCTAATTTCAGTTCAGACTTGTTTGTACTGTCCAGAAATTCCTGCCTGGCGGTTGTTAAATTTTCTTGTGTTTCTCGTAAAGCGGAAGCGGCTGCGTCAACACGTTCCGCGTTTTTCTCAACTGTCTTCTTCGATGTTTGAAATTTTTTCAGTATGTCAGTTGAACACTTTGAGGCGATTTCCTTCTTAACTTCCTCGATTTGATCTTTTAAAATGTCAGTTTTCTTGAGTGACCAGGCAACATGAATTGCACCTTGATCTCCCCAGGCTTGAATGTTTTTAGAGCGTTGCTCCTGCAGAGTTCTTCTGCTTCATCGTTCCAGAATTGTCGGTATGACTTTTTCATACCTATGCATTCGTCGACCTCTTGCTTACTATATATCTTGACCCTTCGGGCTCTAGCTGCTGAATAAGGTGAAGTTGGTTGCGGCCCGGGTGATGATGTGGTTGGTGCGCCCATGTCAAAGAGTGTGGGCTTGCGACTGACCCTGACTTTTTTTCGCGGTGGAACTTGATCTTGATCACCATCTCCTGATTTGGTTGGCACATGGTTCAAGTCGGGCTCATTAGCCTTTAAGTTAATCCCTTCTTCATGAAACAAATGAACTGCAAAAATATCGTTTGTTTTCTGCATACATTGGCTTAATTTTAGAGCCACTTCTTGCTTGAGACCAACAACGATGCGCTGGTTGTTTAACAATCTGGTAAACTTGTAGTGAGATGGCAAAACATCACTGACCTGGTCCTCTAAAATTTCCCGGCGAAATGTGTCCAGCGTAACTTCTTATTTGTCGATGATCACCGAACAAGAAACATTCTCATTGACATAAACAAGCAGATCCGACATATTTGTATTTAACAAGTTTTACCTACAAGTTTTAAAAAGGTATCTGCAAAACTTAAAATAAAATATGCGTAGTAATTATAGTCAATAAGATGAAACAATAGGAATGCCATGGTCCACTGAATTCGGTTTATAAGTGAGGATTATTTAAAAGCGTGAAACACTTGCTTAGTTAGGACAAAAATATGGAAAGAGAGAAAACACTAGCGTTGCTAGTTTCAGTTACAATTTTAGGATCACAAAACGGTGTAATCTGAAAATATATATTTTTTCGCTTTCGCTGTGTGAAATTGAAAAGTTATCACTTACGGAAGCACGACTTTAAATGACGCTTTGTTGTCGAAAATTGTCGCCTTTTCTCAGTTAAATTATTAATTCAAAAGTGCGTGACTTGTGAATACCCATCACTTCCCCTACAGTTTATGAAACCGGGCAAAGCGAAAGCGAGTGTAGCATCTATCTATCAAATGGCATATCAAGATCTGCGACGTTTGGAAGCTGTGTGCAGCGATTTTCAACGATTCTGTGCGACATGTGAGCATCTGGAAAGAAAATGGGGTGCAAATTCAGCTTTTGGGGTTGGAGATTTAAATTTTACTTCACACTTCAGGGAAATCCCGCTGTATTATCCCACCAAATGTTAGATGTATGATTCCAGTTACTGCTACTGGTGACGGAAACTGCTTGTTCAATTCAGCTAATCTGGCCATTTGTCAAAAAGAAACTTTAGCCCTTGAGCTTGGACTGCGCACTTGCTTCGAACTTGCGAAGAACAGACAATTCTACAGAAATCATCCTGTGTTAAGCAGTTCTAAAATTCCATACTATGGAAAGACTAGAAGATCGGGTGTAATGTCCGTTGAAACACTATGTGATTTGACTTGCTTTTCTTCGAGATCATCTGAATTGTACGGTGAATATGGTTTTGAAGCAGCATTTGACAGTGAAATTATGAGGACAAGCAAAAACTATTCTTACAGTGGCACTTTGCTGATAATGGCTTCGGCAAGTGTTCTGGGAGTTCCCATTGAAACAGTTTACCCAGATCACAATCACAAACTGTTACCTGTGTATCAGAACATTTTCAGACCTAGACAATTTATAAATCCTACGGGTTCCGAAGTTGTAAGAATCCTGTGGACAAATACGCTTGGCTGGCCTGACCGTTCTAAGGAATTCGTAGTTAATCATTTTGTTCCCTTGTTTAACTTGAATGATAAAGTTTCTGACGAGCCGCAAAGTTCCTCTGTAACTGGCAAGGACGAAGCGCAAGAAAAAACTGAAAACGCATGGCACGTCGTCACAAGAAAAAGGAAGACGAGTACGAAGCATTCGGCAAAAATCCAAGACAGCGGATCAACCAAGAAATCGCAAGGGCATTTAAAGCCGCAAAGAGCGACCAGTTACGCAAAACAAAAATTTGAAGCGGGAAAAAATAAAACCCCAGCCTCTGGAGGAAGTAGCTCGCTGCAGGAAAAAAACGTAGACGTAAAGAACAATCGTAGGCATGACGTTTCAAACGTGCAGCAGATGAACAGGAAAAACACCAAAGAAAAGAAAGAGCACGTATATGTGTGAAAGAAAAGATTTACAAAGAAAAGAACTGTTCCACGGATGCTTTGAATGCTCATGCCGTTGGTGACAGCAAATATCTCACGGTATACGGCAAGTGCAACATAAAAAAGGAGAAAATGTGTCACTGAAGAAAGATATCAACGACGGAGATACACGCGAGTCTGAAAAAGAAATTTGTGATGTAGAAAAACAAGAGAGTAAAAGAGATATCAGTTGCAAAGGCACACGGGATAGTGACAGTGATGGTACAATGAATTGTGATGAAAAGGAACCCGAAAGACAAACAAAAAAGCCTCAAGAAAACAAGACAAGTCCCACAAGAAAGAGAGCGAATACCACACATGTTCCAGAGAGTGATACCACTTTATCCGGAAAAAGGAAGCGTTTACATAGTCGAGGCACTCCAAGTTCCGCCTACATTCCTTCAAATGCCGCAGTTAGTTTTATAGAAGTTCGTTCTGCTTTACCATTCCCTGGTGCTTCTCGTCGTTTCTACCAAAGGCAAAACAAAACAACAAGTGCGAATATGAAGCGAACAAGACAGCGTGAGCAACAACCAGTTATACGTGATGAAACAAAAAACATCGGTATGTAACGGAGCAGAGTGGAAGGATCTTTAAAAGAAAATATTAGAGACACAGAAAGGGAACTTTTGACTTGCAAAAACCTTTCAAGGAGGGCTGAACGTTTGGCAACAGTGGACATTGGAAGAGAATTACAAAGGAGAGTTCTTTTGGAGACCTCAGCAGCCACCGAAATTTACCAGAAAACAAAGGCCTCTATACTGAATGAAGAAGAGAGAACGTATTCTTGTCCTGTTTACACCTATGAAAAATCATCTAAAAAACTTAACATTGTTCAAATATATAATGATCAAAAAGCTTACCTCGTGGAAGGAAAGGATACGGATATAGAGAAGGTTGTGGACGTTATCAGCAGAAGGTTAATAAAGATCAATGATAATGCAGTAAAAGGAATCGTGAAGGCAAAGTTGACAGATAGTTTTGCTGATCTATTACAAACCCTCGACAGTAAAAGGGACAGGGATATACTGGAGGCCATAATTGCGAAAATTACAAGTGTGAAAAGCGTTGTTTCCATTAAAGGAGTACAATTCAAGGACAGCGTTAGCAAGCACCGTGCCACTTTAAATACCAACTTAAAAACATTTAAGGACATTAAAGTCAACTCACAATCGGTAAGGAATGACATGACTGTCACTCAACAACTCTTTTGTTCAAAGGAAGATAAAGAAACTCAAGGAAGATAACATGAATTCAATTGCAAAAGGAAGAGGGCGAAAGTTGAAGTGCGAAGAATTTCCTGAATTGGCAAGATATATTGAGTTTGCCTTTGGAGAGGGAGATAGAATACTGCGAGGAGGAGGGGGCCTTCAAGAGTATCCAAGATTGATCGACCCAAGGCTTTTTAAAGCAGCAGACAATGTTACAGTTATGCGTGACGTTAAAGAAATGCTGAAAACTGTCAAGCCTGAGTTTAGTATTTCTACCTCTTGTTTGTATACATACACAAAAAACTATCGAAAGGGTACGCTGCAAGCCAAGAGGTACCATCATGGAAGGGAAATAAATGCTAATGTTTCGCTACATAAAGCCCCGAATACTTTGGAGCAGCTGCACCCCCTTAACTCTCCAATGTTAATTACCTCGTAGATTCGGCCTCGGAAAATCCTAGTGGATTCTTTCTGGACTCAAAGGGCGCAAAATGTATCGTTTGTGGGGATATCCCACCCGTCCTGAAACCTGGGAAAACTTGGAAGACATACGAAACTCCAGATCACACTTTCGACCAATCGAGGATAAATGCTGTAACACCCATGACTCATCTTTTTATGGATATCAAACAGGAACTGCAGCTAGATGACACGTCTCTTCTTATTCCAAAAACAGACGTTGTTATCAATGTCACAAGAACGGGAAAGGCTGTGACTCTCATAAACCTTTCTTTCACGGGGTCAGAAACTGTGTTTCGCATGTTCAATGAATTGTTTCTTTTAATGTGTATTCCTTCCCTTGACAGTTTCTTCCGGAATCAGACAACTGGGAAACTAAAGGAAATGATGGGATTCATTGTAGATAATGGTCCGTCGGAAGCCCAAAATAACTTCTCAGTTCAAATGTTAATAGTCAGGCTGGTAAAGTTTCTTGATCTGGACAAGGCCACTCAAAGGTCATTTGCAGAATATTTAAGTAAACGAAATTTCGTGGAACGAGTTCACACAGTGGAAAACAAAGTCCTTTCCGATCACGGTCCATTCTCCTCGAAACAGGTTCATGAAGCAGGGTCTCCAGGTAGCAAGGAACACAAGGAAAATATGGAGCGTATGGCTCAGGACATTGTAAAGTGCATCGGGAAAGGTGTATTTAACAAGGAACAGATTAGGTGTTTTAGGGGAACAGGAAGCGAGGAAAATTATATCTTCGGGGATGAAGAGGAGTTGAAGAATTTTAGTCCGTT